ATCTGTGCATGAGAACAGTGATTTTGTGTTACAATTATGTCTTTAGTGGCATTAGATCTGTCCACCCTTTGGTGTTCATCAGTGAGATTAGCACCCCCTGATCTCTACTACGGTTGTCTTCAGTTCAAACTTCAAACTGAGCCCCTGATATAAATGTGGCTTTGCATAAAATAATCTATTAAATAACAAAGTAGTTTTTAAATAAGTCAAAAGGATTACATATTGTTGATGTTTGTTTTTGAAAAGTTGTCCCCACATGCTTTATGCTGTGACTGATACTCATTTAGTGAATACATTGGCCAGAGCTCTAAGTGCAGGTTACTTTTGAAGTCATGCCTCGCTAAACGTGTGTGCCCTAAAAGCATTGAAGTCGTATTTGATTTCTCTTTCAAGTTTCAAAAAGTTCTACCTTTGAAGAGAGGTGTATTTAAGCTTTGGACTGTAAATGACTCTCACTCTGTCCCTTCACATTGAGTCATGTTCTAATGTATTTGGCACATTCTGCAGTTATACAGTAAATAAGCCAGGGTGGGCCTTTGGAAAAGATGCAACAGGTCAAATTGGCATTTGGAGTCAATAGCTTAAATAGCTTATTTGTACTTTTGGGTGTATTTATTATTTTTCAGGTGAACCAATCTGATAGCTAGAGATAACATGTTCATTGTTGATAAGACCAGGTGCATCACAGATATCTGCCCTCAGGGTTGTTTTGACATGAAAACCCTGGGTGAGCTACAGTACACTGAATTATCATCATGGAGCCTCATCAGGATGTTTATTTTGATAGTTAAGACAAGCTGCTCTGTGACATCATCTGCCTCAGCTGCGCCATTGTTGTCATAACAGCAAAGTGGTTAGTGGCTCATCTGTACCAGGTTCATAGCAGTGTTGCGGTGGGTCAAGGACAGAGTGTGTAATTGAAAAAAGAAGGCCTGTGCAGGACTGAAATCTTCATCTTTCATCTGTGCGGGCCAGCTATTTCTGTGAACAATGGAAAACAATAAGTTGCAGTTATTCACTAATTCAAAAGGTTAAAGTAGTGGAAGATGATGAAGGCATACCATGAATAAGATATTAAGAGCTCTAGGGCCATAACCTCTGTGTGCTGCTTTAGTGTGTGGATCTGTCCTCATTTCTCCTTAGGTCATCATTCACCCAGGAATGCTTTATCTGACCACCACTATAAATTCCAGTGTGGGTTTGGCGGCAACCTTAGGATTTAGGATGTAGTCACACACATAAAAATAAAAGCCATTGTAAATTCAGTTTTCTGTCAGCTCTTTGTCTGTGTTCCAAAGAAACAGGAGAAGCTGTTTTTTTTTGGTCATAGCCACAATGTTATGTTAATGCACATAATTGAGATGATTGGTCTGTGACATCCTAAAGTTGGGATGTAAAAACATGTAGCCACAAGTGTTTTGTATTTATAGGACAACAAGAGTGACAAAGGTATAACAAATACAATTATGTCAATTATATCAACCCAAATAATGGCATACTTGACATTACCTCAGTGGATGTGTGATACATGTGAGGCACAGGGGGACAAACTCCCTAAATGATTAAGCAAATGTTAGTGAACAGAAGTTGGGCTGATGAAAGCTGAATAACTAGCCTCAACACTGATACCTCGAAATGTTCAAGTACAGTACAGTACATGATACAAAAGCATGTAATAGGTTTGGAAGATCTACACCAGTGGTTCTCAAACTTTTTGGACCAAGTACCACCCCTGATCAAGCCAAAGCATCCACGTACCACCTACATCTTCTCATAGGAACCCCAGAAAATCTCAATGAGCAACATGCGCACGCGTGTACACACACTCACACACACATATAATAAATATAATAACAATAAAATCTTTATTTGATATAGCACCATTAAACGTGGCTTCTCAAATTGCTTTACAGAATGACTAGAGGAACAACAACAATTAAAAATAAACAGTAAAAAAGCACAATTTCAGTGAGAGGGTTGTGCCTGTTTAGTCGAGCAAAGCAGTTGTGAATTCATTTTTCGAGCCTTGATAGTTCACAACAGAGTCTAACAGATTTTAAATCTTCAGGCATTTTCTTGACGGCCAAGGCCTCGCGGTGGATGCTGCAGTTCATTTCCGGAGCAACCTCTCTAATTCGTGCAACTACAGCGCTGTGTCGGCTTGTCATCGCTCTAGCACCGTCTGTACAAACTCCTACGCATTTTATCCAGCCGATGACATTCTCTTCGATAAATTCATTCAGAAACTGAAATACATTCTCTCCTGCAGTCCCATTGGAAGTGGCTTACAGAACAGAAAGTCTTCATGAGATATGCCCTCAAACTCGTACAGTATCTAATGTAAACGAGCAAATTGATAAAGTATCTGCTCATCTTAACGCGCTCTATCAGCGTACTTTTGATATTATCCGCCATATTAATAATTCTATGAGTGACTGTGTCTTTCGGAAGGGTTAGCAGGTCAAGCTGCTTAGCAGCTTTTTCTCCACACATAATATGTCAGCTCTTTTGCCAACGGTAAATAAGGTTCTTCAAAAATAGTGGGGCTTACCTGCTTTAGCAATCCGCAAGCTTGCAATTGTCCCCGTTTCCATTTTAGTAGTCCATCTCAGAAGTTAAAATAAGTTATTTCATGCGCATGGGAGCAAAATAGAGATGCTCGGTGTATTTTTCTCAAATTAACCTAGAACAGTTCTATCACGCTTTCCTGTGCTCACAAGATTGTCAGCGTTCTTAGTACGCATTTCTATGCTTTCCTGTGCTTAAAACATTGGCATTGTTCCAGAATCACGCACATTTTCCTACCTCCCTATTTGCTGGAGATAACTTTTTTTAAATACAATTGTCCGCTTTCGTTCGTAGCACACATTTCTATGCTTTCCTGTGCTTGCAAGATTGGCGGTGTTCCAAAATCACGCACATTCTCCTACCTCCCTATTTGCTGGAGATACCTTTTTTTAATATACAATTGGTCACTTGTGTCGTAACATGCATTCCTATAGAATGGAATAGAATTGCATTCTAGCTCTTGTGTCCACTCAAGTATTAGGGCGCACTGTATCATAGTAAGTGGGCTGCATATTCGACATGTATTAAAATGGAAAATATGAAAACCCGTCTCAATTTTTCAGTGCACACTACAAAGTTGCAGGGTCATAAGGCGTACCAGCTTGCGGCGCTCCGCGTACCACTCGTGGTACACGTACCACAGTTTGAGAAGGGAGGGTTTTTGGGGAGGTGGTTAAATAAACTTATTCATTTTACTTCACCATATACTTAGTCATTCACAAGAATAGCATTGATTAATCAAGAACTTATTTGGGAAAAAAGATACAGAACTGATTCCCTGGTGCAGACTGATAAGGGATATAAAAAGTCATTTTTTTCATATTTGTTCATGTTTCATTTTACATCTTATGCTTTTATTTTGCAATATAAAACTTTAATTAGAAAGTAAAATTAATTCAGTCCTTTCTTAAACTTACCCCAGCTAACCCATTTTGTCAGTGTAGTTCCAGCTGTGGGTTTACAGAGGCGGGTGGCAGCAGTATTCTGTGAGTGTGCGGCAGTGTGTTACAGCAGGGATTCCTTAACTGTTCTGCCTCTTAAAAAGGACCTCTTTTAAAAATGTAAGTGCATGAGATGGATAACAAATGAGAAAGACATGGGCCATTTAGCCCATGTCACTCGATGGCCAATTGATCCTGGAATCTCACGGAAATGGATCGAAACAGTGAAAATCAAGCTAACATGGTGAACAGGGATCCCCTGTTTAGACTAACATACAGTAAAAGCAAACTTTAATACTGAAATTGCTATCCTTACATTTGTGTTAAAATACTAATAGTGGTACTATCTGTAAAGTCAAAAATGCTCAAGAAACATGCTCCAATAAATCTGTTAATGAGATGAAGTGAGTTGGTGTTGATTTTATCTGCATGTTTTGGGGTGATGTATTGCTAGGATTTCCTAAGGACAATCTAGGTCATGCCTAAGGACCTTCAGTACTTCTTGGAACCTGATTTGAAAACCATTCTGGAACAGCATTTATGGCAAGGGAGTTTCAGATGTTAGAAAAGTGAGAGAAGAACTCCAGAACTGAATAATAAAATAGCTTATGTGAAAAAGGAAAAGTATAAATGCATCATCTTAATTGTGTTTCCTAAACCCAAGATTAGTCGTAGTCTTACAGAGTTATCTAAGAAACACGGTATCCTAGTTAATTACGGTCAGTCTTTGAAACAAGCTAAAGTTGTGCTTTACAGTTATTTTTTAAATGAATGTTGAAATGTTCCGGTTTGGTGTGGCTTAACAGTTTCTCTTCTCTCACACATTTCACTGTTTAACCTAAACCAGATGTATACTTTCCACATAAAACTTTCACTTGCTTTTATGTTTCACACCAGGCTAGATATTGTTAAAAATACTGTTGCCCACCATATTTATCCTGCTAATTACACTAATTACTTAAAAAATCTAAATGAGCATTTTCCTCCCATTTAAAATATAGTTTTTGCATGCAAACAAGGTACTGGGATTTGAGGTCAATGACCAATCTGATTAGTGTTTAAATGAAAACACTTTGTTTCATATTTTCATTTTGTGAAGAGTTGACGATATATAAACACTTCTTGGTCGTAGGGGAAATTCCCGAAAATGGAAAAAAATGTGTTTCATCCCTCTAAGTTAAAGATAATTAGCATAGAGGATTACTAAATAGGCAGCAGTCAGCAAGGCAGTAATCTCCTGGCATAAATGTCTGTGTTGTTATTGAAATTTTCCTGCATCCTGTAACGGCAAATTCAGACGTTACACAGAGCATGACTCAAAACCCTTTGACAGATCCTTGCTCTCTGCTTGACTTTGAACTGATTTTCATGGGCTGAGTGAGGGAAAAAAGAAGCAGTATTTCTCATCCTGGGGCTGTCAGCAGTGAAAAATAGGCAGGAATCAGACAAACAGCTTCAGTGAAGGGATTGTTTCCGGGCTGAAAGCTTTTCCAACAGCTGTTTGCTTTGGCCACTGCTTACGTCCCCTTTTTTACCAAAAAAGAACTTTTTTTTGGTCAAGAGGAGGCTGCTGTTGCTGTGGTCAGGAAGAGGTGTCTATTTCCAGTTTTCAGTGTTGTGGGCTCGGAGCGATGTTTTGACAGTTGGAGTTCAGGCTTGTTTTTTTAACTCACTCAGGCTATACGCTGCTTCGGAATGCTGTTTGGGAGAAAAACGCACACTTGTGAGTCCTCTAATCACAGACAGCTCAGTGGCAGTTACCTTCAAGAAAAGTTCACGCCCCAGAGGAGTGCTTAGTTCTATAGTAGTGAAACCCTGTCAGAGCTGTGTGCCATAGAGTGTGGAAGAAGAAAAAGGGCTGAGAGTTTCTATGAGTCTCACTCACTCAAGACTGGCTTCAGAATGACTGCTCCCGTTTTTCCTTATAGGATTTTGTTTTAACATCAGATTTTTTGTTAGCGGCTGGGAGACACAGAGCTCTTGTTTCATCTCTTCTGCGGGAATAGTTCTGTTTAGCAGAACGCGCAGCCTTTCACTCTTTTGCTATTTTTGTTTTAATTCTGTGACCATGCCTGTTGTTGGAGTTGCTTCTAAGTTGAGACAGCCAGCAGTGGGCACAAAGCCTGTTCACACTGCTATCCCAATTCCCAATCTTGGCAGGACTGCTGTGTCACAGTCTTTTATGCCAAGGACCGTGGAACTGAGAGGCACAGACAACTCAATGCTGTCTTGTCAGCTGTCATTAAAATCAACCTGCGAGTTTCAGGAGATGAAAGCACCTCAGGGGAAAACCAAGGAGACTGAAGACAGTAGGGTAAGTGAGACATGTTTGTTACACCCTGTAGCAGTTTGCATTTGATCGGTAGATTTGATTGTCCATGTGTGCAGACCAAAGGAACTTCAAACTCTTTCATATTGAATAACAGGAAGAAGAAATAATTAATTTATATAGCATTTAGTAGTTTTAGTAGAACATCATTGTGGTTTATACTGTTTTCATATTCTCTAAATACAGTATATACTGTACAAATCAGAAACCACATGCTGTGTTTGTATGTGTGTGTGGCATATAGTATTTTTCTTGAGCTATTAAGATTTATATCTGTGAAATGAACTGGTCCATGCATTTTGAGGAGCAATACATAATCATGCCTTTCCAGAAATGTATTTCTGTTAGAAGTCTTTGGAAACCTTACCTGGCTTCAATTCAAACCAGCCACCCACGGTTTTATCCCAATTGCTAAGTTAAGGATATCATTTCAGATGAATTGCACCCGATTTCCGAAAGTCCATTCGTAAGCTCAGTTGCTCACTCACATTTATTAAACATTCCTACCAGGAGTGGCTGACAAATGACGGGTGCATACCGTCTTACTAAGTGCTTTACCATATAAGACAGCTGATGCCAAGTATTTAGATTCTTTAATAATGTTGTGCGGTATTTAGCTGGAGCAGGAGTAGCCACAGAGCCTAGGGTGGAGGTGTCAAAATCAGGAAAAAAAAAAGCTTTCAGTTGTGGTGTCCTGCACTTTACCTGATAAAATAAACATACTTTCCTGTTTATGTAGCAGCCCCGGTGGTTGTCTCATTTACCTTTTGATTCCCGGAGAGTTCACAACCTTTCACACATTAACCAAGCTTAGCACAATGGCTTCTTTTTTTTTTGCCTTCAAGGGAATGTGTACAACATCAAAGCTATAGCACCGACAGACCACTTTTGGATCAGTATACCGTATCCATAGAGGTGCCAATTAAGGGGTTACTTACCCTGTTCGGTACTAGAACAGAGAAAATGAAAACCCTTTTTATTATTAACTTTATTTTAACTACCTCTTTGATAGTGCTGGTTTCACTTACAGTGCGTTAACTACAAGTGAAAGTTGCATGTCTTGTACTTACCGAAAGATGAACCTAACAGGCCCCCCTGCTCTTACATTTAGCCTGTGGTGAAGGTGGCTCTTGTTATGATCCTTTAGAAGTGTACAGCCTGTTATGGCTTGTCCTGCAAATGACAATTAGCCATTGTTAATTAGGATATCTTCTTCTTAAAGTAATCCCTGTCTTGACAACATAGAGCGCCGAACATTTTTATTCCTGCCACTGAAAGATTGACAGTATTTTGTTGGGTGTGAGGTGAAAATGACACTTTGATTGAATTAAATTTTGAAGATTGATTAATTACATGATAAAAAAAGAAAATAAGGACAAACTATTTGGAACTATTTTGGTTCTAAGATACACAATACAGTGTAATACAGTAGACTGCTCTGAGGAAAGTACAAAGCTAAAATCACATGACTGCCTTGATTTAACTCAGGAAATAATTATTGTTATTGCTAATAGTTATTAACTTACTTAATTATGAAAGCTGACACGGAACATGTTGGCTATTTATTTATATTCTTCTCTTGAGAATTTCATGGCCATGCAACTTAATATGCTTTCAAGGATTTGGCTATATAAACCTGTTAAAGAAATTGCACAGCGCTATGGACTTTCAGCATGTATTTGTAAAGGTATACACTGAAGCTAAGCAGGTGTGAGCCTGGTCAGTACCTGGATGGGAGAGGTTGATGCTGGAAGAGGTTTTAGTGGGGCCAGCAGGGGGATGCTGCTCATCCTGTGGTCTGTGTGGGTCCTAATGCCGCAGCATAGTGACGGTGAAATTATACTGTAAAAAGGCGCCGTCCTTCAGATGAGACAGAAAACCGAGGTCCTGACTCTCTTTGGTCATTAAAAATCCCAGGGTGTTTCTTGAAAAGAGTAGGGGTGTTAACCTGGCATCCTGGCCAAATTTCCCATTGGCCTTTGCCAATGATGAACTCCTAATAATCCTGATTTATGAACTGGCTTCATCACACTGTTCTCCTTCCCACTGATAGCTGATGTGTGGTGAGAGTACTGGCGTACTATGGCTGCTGTTGCATTATCCAGGTGGGGCTGCACATTGGTGGGGGTGGAGGGGAGTCCCTATTACCTGTAAAGTGCTTTAAGTGGAGTGTCTAGAAAAGCACGATATACTGTAAGTGAAAGCAATTATTATTATTTTTATTATTATTATCTTTCAACTCAGTTTAAAGTAGGTGAGTAGGCAAAAATGATTTGAGTGCAAAACATTTATCATTGTGCTATTTTTTGTAAGAATGTACATTTACATTTTGTACGTTTGTACCCGTGCATTTTGATTTAATGTCTCAGCATGTTTATTGTAAAATATGAGGAAAAATATGGTATTTTCTTAGAGAAACAAAAGCTTTCCACCCAGGTGTAGTATTTACAATGTGAATATAGCCTTGAGTATATTTGAGATGCTGGGGGTGGTAATTCATGTGTGACAGTGTGATGTCTCTTCTCGGTAGTAGCACCTGCACTCTTATTGGGGATCATACTTCATCATCTCATTTTTGTCTGTAAAAAGAAACATTTGCTCTGATGGAGAAGAGATCTCACCAGATGTTGCTTGTCTTAAATAAAACTTAGATACTGTGCTGATGCAAAATGCAAATGCATGTCAGATAGGATGTGTGTTTTAAGAGTTAAATACTACAGAAATAAGAATTTTAAGCAATCAATCACAAGGCATATCTTTCACTTAATCTAGAGTACTTGTGGTTTGTAAGTGCTGGAGACATATGAACAAAGACTGTTGTCTGCACTGCTTATGTAACAGACTGTCTCCCTTAGTAGTGCACCTTCCTACACCACCATTGTGACTGCTGTGAGCTGAGGTTGGGACATCTCTTGTATGACCACCGGTCATAACGTTTATCTTTACTTGGGACCCACGGGGAAAACATTGTGGCCTTTGAGTTCAATCATCTCTTGACAGTGCAGAAATGTTCTTTGAGGACACGACTTGTGAAACCTGGCAGGGATTACAAGATCTGTGCTTTGCCTTTCTTGGTTGAATACCTCTGTAACATACTGTACTGTTTTTTTAATCCCACACAGCCAATCTAAACAATGCATCTGTCTGGGTTTTGATAGCAGATGGAATGTAAGAGATGTTCCTTCACACCTGTTGTGGGAAGGTGAACCGGAACATGAACTTTCCTCATTGAGGAGAAAATGGGATAAAACTAAAACATGTGAAAAAAGGGAAAAGAAACAATAAAATGCAGACTGGGTTAATATTTGCAGACTCCATGCCGTCACTCTAGACAGAAAGGCAATGATGTGTGGAGATTGCTGAAATCTGCCTTCTTCTTCAGCAGGATGCCTCTTGTGGTGCTGTTTGGCTGATTTAGCACACCAGTATCCTGTGTTATGACAAATTTTCTGTAGCCAAGAGATAACACTTCTCCCTAGCCCCAGTAACAGATTAACTGTATTACACACCATCTGTCTCTGCATTGACTGCCTCAGCTTTAAGCAAATCTAGAAATACAAAATAATACAATTGCTATCTCTTCTCTTTTCAATTATATTAAAGAAAATAGCCAACCTGAAAGAGATGAGGGCAGAAAAGCGTGGTTTGTGTTGTATACAATTAGAAACTCTACAGACTTTGCAACATAATGGATTTATCAATTACTGGAATAACGTAGTTGTTTATAATCTCACCAGGGTTGCAATTGCATTTTGAATTTTGTTTAATTTTAAGTGAATGTACAATATGTAGCCCATTGTTTTCTTTTTCTGAAATCTGTCCATTTTATTTCATTATGCATAAGGCATAAAAAGGGAGAAGGAGAATCTGCTTGTCATACAAGAACGGTAATGCTGTACCTTCCAATGAAAAAAAAAATCCTTTCACCTTTTCATTTCAGTTGATTAACAAAGCAGTGAACAGGATTAAGGTGTGGTTGACATATAAATTGACTTGTACATTACAATTGAGAATTACCAGATTAAAAAAAAAAAAACATCAGTTGCAGTGAGTTGCTTAAATTCAGGGTGGAGAATATAACCAATGTTAACAGTTTGTGTTGAAACAGTGTTAAGAATATTTGGAAGCCTGGTAGTACAAGATTTCAACTTAAGGTTGGATGTCATTCCCACAAGTATAGAGGGATGATTGTCAGTGGTGGTCTTGTTGAAGGTTTACTTACTGTAATCTGAAATAACAAACAGGTTGAGAAGTGCGTTATGTTTTAGGGACAGGGAACAGGGATGGGAAAAGTGAAATCAAGGTTCCACCTGAATAATGACTGCATCAAAGCAAAGGTCTCTTCAACCACAGAATGAGCTAGAGCAGAAAAAAAGATTCTGTGATTGTTTTGACTCATCACATCTTCGCAACCCTAAGTGACAGGGCCCCTGGAAGAACTCAGGAGTCATCTTCCAGAATGTCTGAGAATTGTTCCAGTGTTGCTGTTTAAAAAGAAGTGGCTGCCAGAGAACAAACTAGAGGATGCCAGCTGATTCTTGGAACAGCAGACAATTATGGTCAACCATAACAGAGTTAAAAAACAAAAACAACAACAGAAAATTAAAAGCAACTTGTACAATTTCAAGTGTACATTGTTACACAGTATAGTATCGTACATGCAGTTCACTTTTATGTAAAAGTGCATAGAGCAACAACTGAAGAACTGTATTTGGATCTTTATTTTCTTGAAGTATGGTACGATGAAACATCCATCTCTTTGGCATTTCTTCAGCATATTCTCAAGAAAGAAGGGAACTGTTCTTTTTAAAAAAAGAGAGAACAGCATTTATACCTTGTCTTGTAATCATGTACAGTTTTTCCCATCACTCCTTCACTCCATGGACTTTGCATTGACATGTGTTCCATTTGAACATAGAGAGCATCTACCTGTTGACTAACAGGTAGCATGATTCATCCTGATATGAAGATAAATGAGGTTTAAA